AAAAAAAAAAATTTCCATGTCAAAAAAGTTCCAGTTTTGGTCCCCCCGTAAAACTTGTTGGAAATAATAAGGACTATTGAAAAAAAATATGCAACTAAGAAAGACTCTACAAAGTCCCACAAGAAGCTCACCGCGTAAGTTGATGTCACCAATGGTTTTCCTACACAGAAAGATAGCTGAGATCACCGGCCATATAGATAGTATATCTATCTCAGGGATGGGCCAAATGGAGGCACCGCATCGTGGCCCGGCCACCTCATCTTTCTTGCGGCCCTGAGATTATATTTAAAAACTAAATTTAATTAAAAAAAATATATATTATATATACGTATATATATTTTAACACATTTTTTTACTTTGTAAGTAGACCTGATAACAGTTCCAACTTAGACTACCTAGTTACGTCGCGAAGCATGCGTACAATGATTTCAAATTACCGCAAATAATACTGTGCACGCATTTGTGTGTATGTGGTGTTTGTCCCGGGGAAACCCTCACAAGAACCACCATGCTATGTGTTATGTCTGCTGTGTTGACGGTTAAGTTGCCTCTTGTGTAATTATGCCGTTTACAAGCTTAAAAGATACTGTATTTATCATCCTGGAATTTGCGCAAAACAAGTTCCTATGTCGGTTAATATGGCTTCGCATGGCCTCCTAAAGCTATCGCTATTTGGAGTAATCCCCCCTTGCGCCACCGCGCAGCACTGAAACACTTGTAGTCCACGCCACCGTAAACCACCGCTAAGGTGGGGCCCAACCCTCGGCGGCCTCCTTCCGGTATACAATAGGAAAGGTGGCCCCGGCAAATCGGCTCCCTCCTTTTCTTCAGGAAACCATTCCGAGCGAGTACTGAAGCACAGGAAAGGATTGTTGAAAGTCATAATGAAGCAACAATTGGTGTCCGTGATTGTCGCCTACATGTAAAGAGACGGGGAGCATGAGGTACACTCTTGAAGCTGATGACCTATCCACGGCGATAATCGCCGAACCTGTGCTGGGGCCAAGAGCGAACGCCTTACGGCGGCTGTCTCAGACCAGCAGGTCGTCATGTGTTCGCATTGTGGCAACCGTCTCCCATCAGCCCGACAGCAGCG